AAAGGGGTGGGGCCTGGGGCAGGGGAGGGGGGAAGGAGATGCTTCCCCCCCCCGTAAATAGTGGGAGGAGAGCACTTTGGAAAGACAGTCGGATACCAGGAAACAGCCCCCTCCCCTCCCCACCTCTGGCTGCGAGTCTCCCTTTGATAAGGGGTGTGTGTGTGTGGAGGAGATCCGGGGAGCCCCTCATATAGAGGAGTGGGGGGAGAGGAATAAGGGGGCGTTGAGTCAGGCACTCCTGACGGCCAGTTGAAGATCCCTCCTGCAACACCACAGATTGCCAGAATTGTGGGGGGGGGGTTTTTGTCAGGATTTTAGCTTGAGTGAATGGGGGCTAAGTAGGGGGAAAACAAACTTTGGAGAGACACCCCTCCCCCATAGTGGAAATTGGGCTGGGGAGGTACTGGAGGGGTGTTGTTGGTGCTGAGGGGTTTTGCAGCTTTTCTTCAGGGCAGGCAGTTTATTGAAATAGGGAAGCTTCAGGGTGATGGGGGGCTCAAAGTGGGAGACACACATACCCTTTTTGCAGTGAAGGACCAGATTGTGGGGGGGGGAGGGAATAAGAGAGAAGAGGGGCGCCTGAGTCCCCTGCATGCCCAGGTAATTCAGCCTTGAGTCTCCCGTCAAGGGGTGGGGGGCTGGAGAAACAAGAAGAATGGCTCTTCTCTAGGATATGGAGTGTCCTTTACAGGGAATCCCCCAAGCCTGGGCTGCGGTGGCCCATGAGCTGTGGGGGATCTTGCTTGACAGGCGGCCTGGCTCTTAACTCACAGTGAAGGCCGGAGCAGGCTTTGGTGTGACACAGGCTATGAGGAGCCCATTTCAGGGCTGCATTTGCCGTCTTTATTAAATTTAGTGTTCCGGTGGAAGGCACAAGCTGGTGCTTCATGTCCCTTGCAGAAGCACCTTCTGAGTGCCATGTGCCCCCACCACCGCTGCCTGCATAACTTTAAAGTGTGCATTCTCCATTTGGGTACGCTGAGAGTTGCGACTGGGGTAAAGGGTTTACGTGGTAGCACTTGTTCAGGCCTGTTCTCCTGGCCCGTGGCCTTTCGCATGTCTCCCAAGATGGGAATGATGGACTCGCTCTCCTCCCCCCGTCCCCCAGGCGTGGCCAGCTGATGAATTCTGTCCCTTACCTTGGGCGTTGGTGTCGAAGTGGGACTTCTGAGGAGCCTGTGGGCCGAGACCCTGGCTTGAAAGGGTGGGGGGGGGTCAAGCACCCTGCATTTCTGAGGCTTTGCTTCTGGTGGGTGGGCATGGACTCTTGGAAAGAAGGACTGAAGCTTGAATGGGGAAAGTGGCAGCTTTGTTGATTCTCTTGCTTGGGGTGGGGGGGATGAGTCTGTGATACCTCTGTGATACCTCCAAAGCAGAAAAACCCCATCCCCCCCCCGTTCTGCCTGGGGCTCGCCCTCATGCCCTCGCCTGTTCTCACCCCGAGGTGGGTCAGGAGTCACATCGTGCTTGCCGGACTCCTGGTAGCGCAGCTGCCTCCTCCTGGCTCTATTTTTAACCCTGGGGTGTGGGGTTACCCAGACTGGGCCTCGGCTGAGCCAGGAGGAGGGTTCAAGCTAATTGCATCCTTGCGGCACTGATCAACCGAGCCTGGGCTCACTCACACCACGGCCGCCAGAGGAGTGTTCTCCGGCTTCTGGGTGAGCGGGGGCAGGGGGGAACAGGGTGCTTTTCGCCAACATATGTCTCTAGCTCTGGTCTGAGAAGACCTCTGCTGTGTCAAATGCTGCGTGAGTGAGTTAATTTTCCTCACGAAGAAGGGAATCTGCTGCCCCTCATGCCCGCCTGCCATGCATCCCCCCCTGCGGCTGGGTGGAGGCACATCAAGCTCTGCTGCACATTTGTGTTGCAGACAGGGGCCTGGGAGTATTTGCTACCGGGGAGGTACTTTGTGGGTACGCTTCCTCTGGCCACGGGACTGACAGACAGGTCAGGAGAAGTCTTATGGGCTTGCCGACTTGAAATTGGAGCCTGGACCATTGAGAAGCACCTGACCTTTCGACATGGGCAGAGGCCTTTTCACACCTTCTACTTGTCGAATGTTGTGTGAATGTGGCTATGAAGTGTTCGTCTGAAGAAGCGTGCTTTGCACAGGAAAGCTTAACACTTTGAATAGAACTTTGTTGGTCTTAAAGGTGCCTGGCTGGACTCCAGCCTTGTTCAGGGGTTTGTATCTGCGCGTGTCACGGAGGGACGATCTGGGACTGGCTGCAGCTCCCAGTCGGGCGTCCAAACTTTGGTTTGTTCTTGTGTGGCATTAGCTTGTGCTGCTCTCGGAGCACTGGGTTGGGCCTCAGGGACCAGAATCGGGTTTCCCCTGGGTGACAGAGCGGCGCTCTGGCCTGAACTTCGGTTCAGTGTCTGCCCTCTCTGGAGTCCTGACCAAGGAGGCCGTGCAGCCAAGGCCTCTGCAAGAACCATCTGAGACCAGGAAAAAGTCTGAGTCCAGGGGCATCTTTAAGACCAACAGAGTTTTAATTCTGGATATAAGCTTTCGTGTGTATGCACTTTGTTCTATTGCTTCAGACCAACACAGCGGCCCCACCTGAATCTGAGACCAGGAAGGGCTTCTGCAGTGGATAATTCAGTGCTGCTCTGATAAAAGTGCTCTGCAGTTGCCCTGATATCTTCACCCACCACACTGGTGAATTCCCTGCCGGGTTTTATAACTTGAACAAGAAAAACAGACCTCCCAGTACTAAGACAAAGAAAAAACAACAAACTGGGGGAAACTGGAGACATTCTTGGCCTCTAAGCTTAGCAGTATACAGACAGGTCGAATATGAGAAGTCTTCATGGGAATTGAGGGCTAGTCCCAATACTAATTGTAGCAATCCTTAAGAAGAAGGTGCTTCTAGAAACCAGAAAGGTGCCATTTCAAACTATCAGATATTATGACACAATATAAATTGTTCTGCTTCTGATGAAGTTTTGACACGAAACCAAGCCAAAGCCAGCTGCTTTGTAAACTTGAAACTTGAACTTGTAAAAAACGTACCTGTAATGGATTAGCAATATTCTAATGATTGTTCTGGCTAACAGCATTGCAATTTGTATTGTTCTATTATATAGCACTGAGATATTGTATTGTTCTGGCTAATATGCCTTGCATATAAATTTTGTAAATTTTGATGTAGTATCTAAATATATAAGTGACTGTATTTGCGTACATATCTAAGTGTTTTAGTGGGTTTCATAACTTACCAGGCTGCTTATAAAACAGAGTAGAAACCTTGCCTGTTAAAGCACAGACGCCTAAGCAATAGCATCTTTTGAGTCCATGAAAGCTTACACTCAGAATTAAACTTTGTTGGTCTTCAAGGTGCCACTGGACTCAAAACTTCGTTCTGCTGCTTCAGGCTACCATGGCAACCCAGCTGAACCTAATAACATCTTTGTAAAGCACCAGGCTGAAAACTTGTCTGTTGTTTGGCTGGTCCTTGCACGTGCGTTTGGTCCTTGAGACTGCGGTAAAGCACCAGGCTGAAAACTTGTCTGTTTGGCTGGTCCTTGCACGTGCATTTGGTCCTTGAGACTGCAATTTCCTGATAATGTCTTCTAAGCTTTTGCTGAGTCCTCAGAAAATGGGGGAAACTAGCCATCTGGGTGCCAGCCAGGTAGCTACTCTGAAGGTGGGACTAAAGGCTAAGCAGGCAGTGGGGGTAGGTTGGAAAACATAGCACTATCCCACATTGGGCACCCCCTGCAGGCTATGGGGCAAAATGGGCTCCCCCTAGGCTTCGAGCAAAACGCTGCTCCTCAGATGGCTGCACATGAGCATTATTGCATTTGGCACCCTCTTTGAGGTGGCGGGAGCCCTAGGCCCACCCGGATGAGGAGGCTGCGTCACAGCTGTTGTGTGTATGGGGGCCAAACAGGTGGCCGGATCCTGCTTCAGGCCTTCATGGCGGTGAGGCCAGTCTGTCAGGTTTTACTCAGATATCTAGGAACTAGCAAAGATCCCACTGCTGCGTGTGTCGCTGCAGCCGCCACCTCAATGCTGCCTCTGCAAAAAGGGGAGGGCTGGCCCATGAGAGTGCGGCTGGCTTTTATTCGTGTGTTTTTGCCCAGCCCCACCCTATATTTAAACCTTCCCCAAGAGCCTCTCTCCAGTGATTCCCTCCAGCAGCTGGGCAGACCTGTCTGCGTGCCCCGCGAGTTGTCCCTCCTCCCTCCTATTGCACGCTGGTGCCAGGGCCTGTCGTAACCACGGCCCCGTTGCGTCACTCGAGGCAGAGGGTGGTTGTGACATCCCAAAATGAGTCTTCCCCTGGGCTGCCGGCTCAGCAAGAAGGCCCTCCTTGGGGCGCAGATCCCTTTCTGGCCTGGCACTGACGCAAGGTGGCTGGGTGATAAAAGCCTATCTCCTGACCACTTGTGCGTTTCTGTGGGAAGGGGGCTAGCATTTTTTGGTAATCTGTGGGGCTGCTTTGTAGACAGTCGACTCTTTGCACCTTGAAAACACCCGTGGTGCCCAAATCTCAAACCAGCTGGTCCACAGTGATCTGCCGCTCTCCTCTGCCCACACCACCCCAGTCTCAGTTTGGGATTGCTAGGCTTGGATCTTTGCAAGCTTGTCGGTATCAGTAGGAAGCAGTAAGGGGTCCAGTAAGTGAGCC